CTGACGACTGGATTGGGCGGGAAGGGACAAAAACAAATGACGGGGCACGTTTTGCTAAGGACAGGACGCGCAAAAAGAGTTATTAATTAATCGCTTCATTAAAGTATTAGTGCCGTTATTTAGTCCCCGAACCCATAACAAAACAGAAATAACAAGAACTATGCGAGGTTTCCAGACTGGAGAAGGTTGAAAAGGCAACTGAGACAACTTAAGAACAATAAGTCAGCTGGTACTGATGGCATTCCTGCTGAATTCTTCAAACAAGGAGGCCCCACACTAAGTGCGCAAACCCAGATCCTAATAAGTAAAATATGGATTACTGAGACCATACCTGCCGAACTTAGAGATGCCACCATAGTTGCCATTTTTAAAAAGAGACAAGGCTCAATGTGGAAACTGCAGAGAAATATAATATTTACTATGTGCCAGGATATCATCAAATCGCCTAATCCCAACTGCCGAACAGAACCCCCTAGAGACACAGTTTGGCTTAAGACCGAACCGAGGTACAGCTGGGACGATTTTCAAAGCGAGACAAATACCACAGAAATCCAGAGAACAAAATCGCCCTCTATACATGGCCTTCATAAATTTAGTGGAAGCATTTGATTCGGTCAACAAAAAAGCTCGTTGGAAGATATTGGCAAATTCTGGGTGTCCGCAAAAGTACCTACATCCAGATACTCCGCCTGTTGCATGGTAATATGAATGCAATCGTCCTAAGCAACGATGGAAAAGATGAGTCTTATCAAATAACCACAGGCGTTATACAGGGCTGTTATTGCACCCACTTTATTCTCTCTATTTATAGGATCCATCCATACTTCACCTTGTCCAGGGTCACCTGCCGTCAGGAGTGGGAATCCTGTACAGATTCGATGGCGGCATATTCAACGACATCATTAATTGAACTTCAAGATGCGGATGATAACGTCATAATGGCAATTATCAATGCCTTCAACCAGGCATACAGGAGAAACCGCCTAGAGGTCAACTTGGAGCAGTCCACTACGGATTAAAAACTTTTGATGAGCCGCGACGCAGACACGAGACCGAAAAGAGGGACCGTAGGAAGGAGCGAGAGAACAGAGACGATGCTGCCTGAGGCTGGTTGTGCCAGAGCGGCCAGAGCCCAAGACTGTGGAAGAGTGTGCGGCTCCAGAATTGGTTTATATTGCCATCAGAAAACGCACAATAAGAATAGAATAGACGATAATCATACTCTGTATCGAGCCTATGATGATGACATATTCTGCAAAGATAGGTATACTTTTTTGTTGTTTTAGATGGTGGAATCTTTTAAAAACACTGGTCCCGATGTACATGTTATGACTAATGAGGCTCTCGCGATATCCTGACTGGAAATAACCTTCTCAGACGGGCGATTGAACCAGTCCTATTGTGAGTAATTCATTAATCAAGTCCAATGTTTCAGCTCGTACATCGTCGAGGATCATTTATGTTTTGGCTCGCATGTTCCTATACAATTCCGTTACAGAAATTGCATTAAATTAGTAAAAACTTACCCTGGCGCAGACATAAATTCTGATCACAACCTGCTTGTGGCAAACTTTAAGCTAACCTTAAAAAAGTGAATCTACAATGAAAAGGAACTGCCTTAGATCAGATCTGATAGGGCTGAGCAACTCACCCACCCTAGCTGAAGTCAGAAACGTACTAAATAATTAGTCTTTTATTGTGTGTAGTGTAAGATAAGTTTAGTAGAGAATCTCGAGGTGGAGACTGTTTGTATCGATATCAGGCAAGCTTTTTTGAGCGTAAGGCGTAAGCTCGAAGTTATATCCACGAGATACTAGGATGAAGAAAAAAGCTTGGATGATAGATAAAATTCTCAATTTAATAGAGGAGAGACGCTTAAGAAAAGGTTATCCAACAACATTAGAATATCCAAATAAAATTGTCTTATTAACGATTAAGGCATCGAAATTGAAAACCTGGAAGCTAAATATGACTTCAATATGTACCAGAAAATCAATGAAACGAGGTACTAGGTACCAGGTGTCTACAAACCTCGGCAAACTGGTATTCTAGACGTTAACGACAAAATAAAACAGCGGTGTAGCTATATCGAAAGCTTGTTTCAAGATTAGGGATTGCACACCTACTGGACAGTATACACCAGACTTGACCAGACGGACTTGATTTAACTAGGAAAGAAATCCAGCATACAATATCATTATCCAAAAAATAGAAAAGCTGCAGGTCCGAATGGAATCTACTCGAATGTTATTAGATCTTGAAGAATGAGGTGTCACTTAACGTGTTAGTGATGCTATCGAACGGGAATCATTCCGTCCAAAATTTGCTGTTTAATATCCAAGTGTTGGTTCGAAGATATAGGGATGTTTCTGTTCCTGATGTCTATGCCTGCTTCATGGATTAACGACTAAGCTTTTGATGAGTGCTTCACCATTGCATTGTAAAGTTGCATCGGAGAAACCACCCTGTGTGGTCTCCGTTCCTGAAACAGAGGGTATAATCCATTAGACTTCTTAAGTTTTGATTGTCATGTATTGCAGGTTTCTGTAGAAATTTGTAACCTTTGTGGCATTCTAAATCCCTTCGTTCTCTATTTGGCGTTCTCTACCTAACTGCTTGTGATGCTGGATGTTCTTCACTGCTTGCAGGTGCTCTACTATTGCTTGTAAAAGTATAAAGTGACCTGTTTTGGAATCGAATTGTCTGTCAGGAATTAATTCGAGTTTTTCAATTTTTTTGTGTAGCTTGAACGTGTTAGCTCTCTCTGGCACCTTGCGCAGAAGAGCCAATGGCAATAAGAGACAGCGATGGGACGGTGGTTCTAAAGAAACGTTTTATCCGGCATTGTGAGTGGTGATTCTGTCTCAGAAGTGAGTTAGTGAAGTTAAATAGAGCCATAGCCTATCTATGCGCCTCCTTTATCATCTTGTTGGAAAATTACATCGCGGCCTATGTTTCCTTTCCTGGATTTCAGAACTTTGATGAGCTGAATTTCCTGGGGATTGACGTCGTCCTAGTACGTCGTTGCGTTACGAATTCGCGTACTCTTTCTGCGAATTGATCAATCTCGTCTTCATTATTCTCATCTTCATCTGGATGTCTATTTAGGCTGCTTCCTTGCGCTGTGCTGGCTTAGTGCTATCCTATTTCTTATCGTTTTTCGGGTTCCGTATTGCCTGCGAAGTCTTCTGTTTTCGGTAGTCATGTTTTCGGCTTGTTTTACAAGTTCACTGTTGTCTTTCTGGGCATTAACATAGTCACTGTGCATTCCTGATGTTGCTACAATACTGCGAAAGAACAAGGTTGGAACAGCGAGTGCTTTGGAGCTTCCATTTATGCCCCTGTTTCTTCTGGCGGTATATTTTTGTATTGACCTTTTTTTCTTTATCGCCTCAAGCTTCATCATTGTTTAAACATAATACAATATAAAACAGTAATTCCTCCAAACTGACGCGTTAGTCCGACACGTCTGCTATTTACGAATCAACTTCCGGCAGATAAAAAGCGTTAGGTATCTACAAATATGCAGCATGCAGGGATAGAGTCTATACTTCAGAAACACTCTGCGATAGAACACCGTGATTCAAGATCTAGAAAACCGACAAAGAGTTCCAACCGCGAAGGATATATAGGTAGGTAAGTTAGGAGACGTTTCGGTTAAGGAGATCGCAGTGCGCAAGAAGAAGATCTGATCTCCATCACAAGGGAAGTGAAAGTCTCGTTGTACAAGGCACCCGTGATGATGGTGGAAAATGAACAGCTACCTACCCAACAAAACAGCTGAATAACGTTTACTAAATATTTTTAACACCATAACATTGGGAATAAGAAGCACCGAACTAAAGTTAAAAATGAAAGTTCATGGCAGATGAGTATTTTCGATTTCCTATCCGTGAACTTTAGAAATGGGTTGTTGAGAGTAGGCAACGGAGAAAATGTTTTCTCAAACAAGGACTGTCAAGTTTAAGTCAGATTCAAATTGCTAAATTTATGTCTATCCTAATTTGACGTAGGAATTGTACCCAGCCTAGCAATGCCGCATAGGAGTGTCCAGGAATGAGGAATGGCCCTTCAGATGCGATGTTTCAACCCCCCTAGGGCTGAAACTAACAGAGATAGCATCTAATCCCGCGTTTCATACTTGTTGATGGCGTGGGGGTTCCCAATAGGTCCCAATTCTTTAGGAATTAATAAAGTAACTTAAGTTTTTGAAATTGTCTTCCGTACTTATACATAATATTGTTTGTCCCCTACATACCCGAGTTTTCGGGAATGGAATTCAACGTTGATGGAATAATCTAGCCAGTCACAGAACGATCGGCAGTTTATGATGTTTATCGGAAATTTCCATAAGAAAATTGTCTGATAAAGTATGGAAGTATCAAAACGCTAAGGAGTCCACGACAGCAACGCGAGTTAGGTAGTTTTTGAATAGGACCGTCAGTATACTAAGTTGTGCAATGATTTGAGTGGTGAATTAGTAAGTTGATTATAGTGATATACTTTTGTGAACAGTAAGCATAATTTGATTGATTCATATTGTTATAATACCTAATGCCTACTAGTTCTACGGTGATTTTTATGTTATTCTTTTAAATAAAATTCATTCAAGTAGGTATGGAAGAGTAGGTACCTAATCTCACTAATCTGCGAGGCCGCATACGTAAGAATAATATTCTTAATAAATATAACCAAAAACGCGGGAGAAAGTTTTGAATCCCAACAATTTTATTTAGCCATGGCCAAGGTTAGTTAACTTGAAAATAATGATTGCAGTTAAACACAATATTCTCAAGGCTTATAAATGCAAACTAGTTAAAATGTTTATGTTCCAAAGAACATCTCGTTAAGGAATCAAGCACTTTCATAATTTCTCAAAGAATCTTCGATGTAACAGCTGGTCGATGCAGATGGATGTTTTGAATCACCTATATAGATCCAATAAATAATAAACAGTAGTGTTAATGATGGAGAAAATTCACTGTAGTAATGAAGTAATTGAATAATAAAAATGTACCTAGCAAAAATTAGTAAAATTTGGTTTCATTTATTATTCGTAGGTGTAGGATGCTCATTTCGCAACACACTAAAAGTTAATGCAAATACATACTTAATTATTATGCCAACGTAAACAGTTTTCCCTTCAACAAGACCTAGTCATATGAACAAACTTATCGCTTTTCGCGCATATGAATTCGTAATTATTAATGTTAAAGTCCAGTTTATGTTGTCCATAAACAAACGGGTCAATTGAAAATGGGGAAAATTTGTAGTTTGTTTCAATTTTAGTAAGTATTGGTATGGTTATATTTGAACTAGATAACGCTATATGCCGCGATAAGATAAGCGACCATAAAGTAATGAATAATTTTTGTAAACATTACTCGCCATGGCAAAAGACAGGTTAAGTGACTTAGTAAAGGTAATTATTATTTATAATTAATAAAAGTTGTTTTATACCTAGTTGAAATATATAGCCACCTCAATTGAATATTTGAATTATGTTATTAGGCACGCAATAATAAAAATGGACATTTGCAAGTGGAAATTCAGGTGAGTCAAATTATTACCTAAACCTAGTTGGTATTTAGAAGATTAGAAGTTTTTGAGCTTGCAGAAGGATCAGAAACTTCAAATTTGGTTCGTAACCATAATCAATCGTTCCCGTGTCACTTAAAATATTTTCAGATCTTCATATATACAAAGGTGTACCAAATGTACAGGGTATTTGATTATATTTAAGCCCATACCTACAGCCTTTACTATTTGAGATAGAAAAAAAATTTAAATACAAAACTTGACAGTTTTTTTCTGCATTTTCATTCAACGTTATTAGAAAAAACAAAATAGCATCGAAAAATGGGAAAACGTAGACAACTTCAACTTTTTTTAATGGGACACCCTGTATATTATGCGATAAAATGAAAAATCTTTTCGCCGATTCCAAATACATACAGGGTGTTTCACGAACATCGAAACGAGTCGTTTTAGGGTATTTTAAGAAGGTCGATTTAGAAAAAACGCTCGGAGATAGGGAAGATGGGTGGAGTGATACCTACCTTGTTTCAGAAGTATTTTGATTCTCGTCACAACTGATGTAGCCACAGTATTACGGCAAAAATTGGCCAAATCCATATCTATTTTCAAGTGAAAGAATCCCCTTAAAGGAAAATATAGAAAAAACTGTCAAGTTTTCTATTTAATTTTTTTTTCTATCTTATTTCAAATAGAAACTCGCATCTTTTTCAACATAGTTCGGTTGGCATTGCAATTTTGAGTTTGGACCACCCAAGTTTTGCCAACTTATCTTCTATAGTTTTTGACGTAAATGTAATTTTTTGTTTTAAATTGCCGCTGCAGTTGATTGGGAAAAACAAGGTTTCTCGGAAACCGTTCTAAAATAATAAACCAAATTTAGAAAATAATTATCTGAAAGTTCAGGCTAACTCCTGATGTGTTATTAGTGCGCCTATTTCATACCATATGGGTGCAGGCGATCTACAAACATCGGAATCAATAATGGTCAAAAAGTCAATGTTTTTTAAATGTCACTTATGTTTTTTTGGCACAATTTGCAAGAAGATTGGATTCTACATGGCGTTACTTAAAAATTCCCTATACCTACCTTGAAATCTTCATTCATAGGAATCGTGCCTTGAGGTGTCAATCAGAAAAACAACAGCAAAAATAGTTATTGTTCTCCGAATTGCATTAAAAGCAGCTTTTTATTGACACTTGACAGGCGTGGTCGGTGCATTTTGACTGTCATGTCAGAAAAAGTGGACTTTTGGACTTTTCTATGGATAACTCAATAACGAATCAGATTAGGTATAGGGAATGCTCAAGTAACGCCATGTAAAATCCAATTTTCTTTCGAATGGTGCCAAAAAAACATGATTAGTGGCATTTGAAAAAAAGAGCGCGCACTAATGTCATATCAAAAGTTAGCCTGAACTTTCAGCTAACTATCTTCTAAATTTAGTTTTTTTATTTTAGAACAACTTGGGTTGTCCAAACACAAAATTGCATGGCCAATCGAACTATGTTGAAAAATATACAAGTTTCTATTTGAAATAAGAAAATAAGTGCTTACAATTGGTACACCCTGTACAGTTGAAGAGCTGAAAATATTTTTGGTGACGGCGGAACGATTGATTATCGTTACAAACCAAATTTGAAGTTTCTAATCCTCCTGCAAGCTCAGAAACTTCTGATGCAAGGGCTACGTAAATCACCCTCGGATGGTGGTCATCAGAAATCATTATTATTCCTAAAGAAGTATTGATACCTGAACTCATATCTAATATTGAACTTTTTGGTATGCTATAACTTTTCAAGTGATTTCTGTGCCGTTATCTCCGAAAACCTTAAGAAATGTCTTAAAAATACATTTCATTTTTTGAAGAAAAAAAAGTTCCGCTGTCCCTCGTAACAAGTTGGAACTGAACATTTTTGACGTTCAAATTTTATTGGTCTATTTTTTTTTTAAATAAGAATTAACCAGAGAATAAATTCGTCAAATTGACCTCCATTTACACAAGCACTCCCTCGTACGATAGTAATAAAAGAATGACGTCTTTAGCAAGCAATAGGGTGGCGTGATACTGCGTGTAGCCTGGAATAACTCTATTTTTCTTTTCCTCCACACTCATCCTCTACAGTATCGGATACTTTTGAAGACAGACTTCGCCAGTAAAATTATTATTAGGACATTTAAAAGGGCCAGCTTTATAAGGCGATGGACTACCCATTTTGTTTACCGCAGCAAGTTGCTTCTCGCATCTTGAAAGTGTTGTGTTGCCTCTAAAAACACATTTCTTTTTACTTCACTTACAAAATGAGCTACATTGTAATTTCACACTTATATTACCTTCGTTTCTTTCTTTCTCGCTGCCATTCATTATTATTGTTATCGTCATGCTTGTGATGCTTTACCATTTGCTTTTACTTTCTGATAGATTTGATAGAAGGTCGCTGATATTATCTTTGGCTTTGGTCACGTGCATCTCCACTTTCTATTCCCGTTTGCAGAGATTATCGAATTTGGGACATATGAAAATGGTGAGTTCTGAGCTGTCTTGCTCCCTGAAGAACCAGAATTCCGAGCTCTACAGTTTTCTCATTTTTTTTTAGGAAGCTGTCGAAAGTACGTTGATGCACCCAGCACCATTCACAACATCCAGTAAGTATAGTATAATGCTTCATTTATGAACCATTTAAAAATTCTGTCACACCGTAACCCGGAAAACTGTGAGAGGGAGGATCCAACCTGAAAAACATTAGTTAACTTCGGCAGCATAGGGCGCATAGGTTCCAAATGTTTCTCAACTTTTGAAATGACCTTTTACAATGTAGCGATAAACCGCTAATTCAAGTCCCCAGAATTCCTGCCCAAACGTTTCTGCTTTCATCTGGGTAGCTTTTTAGTGCATTACCTATAATCGGGCCACCGAAGAAATATAGTTGTAAAACGATCACCTGCTAACCGACGCCCATAAATTATCCCGCAACCCTCTGAAGAACAGATCATTTCATAGTGGAGCGCATTTAGTTGATGTTGTTCGTCTGTGACATTGTGCTGTGATTCGAATTGTGCTATTTTAGATTTTTTCTTGCGATTCAATTTGTTTTTTTTTCCATGGATCCTAATGATGGGAATTTATCTCCACCAAGAAGACGGAGGAAAAGACATTTCTCAGTGTCTGAAAAGGAGACAATCCTAAATACCTTCAAAACTTGTGACCGAAATCATGCAGATTGTTGTGGAAACAGCCAAACAATCATATTTATTTTTTATGATCACAGTGGCAACGTTGCAAAAAAGCCCCCCGCCGTGAAAAACTTGCAAAATGGCGCCGTACCAGGCTGTACGCATCGACCCAGTCTGGTTGTTTGTCGCTAGGGGAAAAAATGCATTCCCTCTCTTTTTCACTTCGCAGTGTGATTTGTGATTTTAGTAGTGTGGTTTCACTAGCAGTAAATAATGCGTAAAAACATCTAGCTCTATACAAGTTTGAACCTGCTCACTTTTCTCTAATTATTTAATTATTCTCTCTAGTTGCACCCTTGTGCAGTCTCTCTCTCTCTCGCTCTCTAAATAAAAAGACTTATTTTTTTATCTCTCTGGCTGCTGGCTTGAAAACTCAAGTGATATAATATCGCGTAAAACATTGAGTTAATCATACTCCCCTTTTTTAAGGGCTCTCTAAAAATATAAAAACTCTCAACTCCCGAAGATTTCTATTAAGAATAAACTTTATCTTGTGCTCTCAATTAAAATATTAGCGTTCCGCTAATACTGACAATTATTGTTAAATTGACTATTGAGCACTTAGCAACTAGTGAATTTATACCGATTAGTGAATGTTCTCGAATAACTCAAATGCGACTTGTTAACTAACCTGTGAATAATTAAAAGTACTTGAATGTGGTTACAGTATTTATTACTTTATTAAACGATTATTTTGGCAACAATAGAGAGATATAAACTGGAAGTGTGAGTGCATTATTTAGCAGTGACGTCCCCATCCCCTTTATGATCCAGTGATCTATCCCTAAATTAAATGTTGACACCTCCGTTAGAGGCCCTAACACAGATTGTACAAAAACTGAGAAAGTGAATTTCACAGCAGAGGCCATGGGTATTAGAGTAGCCAGCGTTTACAACGTTCTTCGGGAACACAAAAACGAGCATGAACTGAAGCCAGCCAAAGCTTACAAAAGAAAACAATCTGTTTTGGACAATATAGATATGGAAACAAAAAATTCAGTTCGGAGATTAATTCATTCATTTTTTATCAAGAACGAGTCTCCTAGTCTAAAGGCAATATTAGCAGCTATTCAAGAGCGAGAGGACATTCCTAATTTCAAGAAAAGCTCGTTTAAAAAGTTGCTCCGTGAACTTGGTTTTCGGTATGGTAGAAGAAGTCTAAATTGCATGCTAAAAGAAAAAAATGAAATTGTGAGCTGGAGGCGACGCTATTTACGGAATATCCGAGCAGTAAGGGCGAGTGGAAAAAATATTTATTATCTGGACGAAACCTGGATTAATGCTGGCCATGTCACTCCAAAAGTATGGAGCGACGAAACTGTCACTACGGCGAGGCAAGCTTTCGTAAATGGACTATCTACAGGACTGAAGAATCCCACAGGTAAAGGACAAAGACTCATTTTATTACATATTGGTTCAGACGATGGATTTGTTGAGAACGGCTGGCTCCTCTTTCAGTCAAAGAAAACTGGAGACTATCACGAGGAAATGAATTCCCAAGTCTTCGAGCAATGGTTTGAAAATATTTTACCTCGCTTGGAAGAAAATTGTGTCATAGTGATGGACAATGCATCTTACCATTCTAGAAAAATTGATAAGAAACCGACATCATCTACGAAAAAAGCTGATATACAATCCTGGCTAACTAGGAAAAATATAGGCTTAAAAGAGGATATGGTGAAGGCACAACTATTAACGCTCGTAAACGAAAGTTTTCACAAGAACCAATACGTAATTGATGAAATGGCCAGAGCTTGCAATAGAACAGTCGAAAGATTACCTCCGTACCACTGCGAATTAAATCCTATTGAGTTGATATGGGCACAAATCAAAGGAGAAGTGGCCCGAAAAAATACAACCTTCAAAATTGCAGATGTTAAAAAAAAAATTATTGAAGCAGTCTACAACGTTAGTCCTGAAAATTGGAAAAATGCTGTTGGGCATGTGCTGAAAGTGGAGGCAAGTATGTGGACTATGGATGCTATGATGGAAACCAGAATAGAGCCCCTGATTGTTAACTTTGATGGTGATGAATCATCATCATCGTCATCCGACTCGGAATAATTTCTCCGCATCCGCGTTTTCATGTTTAGCTTTTTTCCTAATAAATTGCATTTGTTATTAAATTAGGTAGGTAGTCACCTATACATTTTATCCAAATCGCTCTTTTAATATTAAACAAATTGTCTATGCCAAATAAACAAATGATGTGATTATAGTTAAATACTTATAAATATATTACCTACTCATTATTATAAATAATAACATTTGTTTTATTTAAAATCGAGTGTTTCTCAATCTCAGCATACACATAAATTTGTAATTTTTTTTTTCTATTCATCCCTCAGTAATAAAATAGGTACCCATCTTACCTATAAGATAATTTATGTAAAATTATAATAAATATGTAAACCAAAGTTAACAGCAACAGGTAGGTACCTATACAAAATATTTGGTGGCCTTTTGGGCGGTCATGAAATTTTAACCTTTTAGGAAAAACATTTGGTGGGTCAAAGGTTTTAGAAAACAATTTCTAGAAGTTTTAAAAAAAAATAAAGTTGGAGTACACCATAATTATTATATAAAATCATCATTTTACCTGAACAAGAAATTACTGAATGTGGGTGAGTACCTACCTACATTCTCGAAACTAGAAAATTTATATTCCATAATGAGTTAATAATTATATAGGTTACCTGAATTAGAGAATACTTAAAATTAGGTATATAGATTTTCATTGTAATTTTAACCCAAAATAATTTATTGGAATCGCATTCATGCATATACTCACATACTGATAAAATGAATTCATGCTTTTATTAAATTTGATTAATCATGAGAAGGTATAAAGTGGGTGAAAACCCGCTCGTCTATTGCCTGTCAGACCCCTCGAAGGTTTAGCGCCCGGTTTTATTGCTATATTTCTTCGGTGACCCGACTATAGTCAATACTTTGTTATTTTGCTTATTGCTTATTTACTGTTACATTTGGGCAAAAGCAGACAAGAGGGCCTACTTTTGCCAGTAAATAGAATAGCATTTGTAATCATGGGATCATTATTGATTATACAGGGTGTCCCAAAAAGATACCGACAAACTTTAAGGGGTAGTAGGGGACATCAAAACAAGCATTTTTGTTTATATAAACATATGTCCGCAAATGAGCCATTTGGGCTGTAGAGCAAAAAAACTGTTTGGTACCTATATAGTTTTATTCTTCGCAATAATTAAATTACTGTTTACTTATTAATTTTGCTTTATTAATAAATAAATTATAGTTTACAATAATTGTTCAACTCGCGAACTCTTTGGAATATTCCGGGAATAGCTTTTACATGGGTATAACTCGCCAGTATCCTTGCTAACAGATCTTCCTCATTACGAATAGGTGTTTCGTAGACTAAAATTTTCAATCAATGACCCGACGGTGTAATCTTTGCATTGAAGTAAATGGTCAACATTTTGAACAATTATTGTAAACCATAATTTATTTGATAATAAAGCAAAATTAATAAGTAAACAGTGATTTAATTATTGCGAAGAATAAAAGTAACAAACAGTTTTTTTCCTCTACAGCCCAAATGGCTCATTTGCGGACATATGTTTATATAAAAAAAAATGCTTGTTTTGATGTCCCCTACTACCCCTTAAAGTTTGTCGGTATCTTTTTGGGACACCCTGTATATCCTTATCCTTAATTCACAAAACTCCATTGATAGTAATCATCTGGTTTGATCTCTTCAAAGTTTTTGCCTTTGTCGGAATTAAATTTCACCTGCTTATTGAGCGCTGTGTAACGAGGAACGTCTAAAATTAGTTTTTAAATAAAATTGAATGCATTTCTTGAAGCTTTTCGGTGAAATCTCCAGACTTTAAATTGTACACGATGCACTAAGTTTTAGCTTAAAACTTATGGCCTGACAAAGGGTTCAAAATTACTAATGTAAAACTATACGGTCCATTAAAAAAAATGCTTTGTATGTACTTTATTTATTTATTTTAGGAAGAAGCTGAACCTTTAACAGGAGGTGCTAACCTAAGGGAAACATTTGAGAGGGCAGATATTCTAAGAGATTGGATAGAAACCATTGAACAAAATACAGAAGCACTCAAACAGTACATTAAAAAGGTAGATGACATAAACACTAATCAGAGAGGTAGTTCCTACATTATTTACCTATTATTTTCGTTTTTTTCTAATGGATTTTTTGCAGATTTAAATGAAAAAATTCAATCTATTTTCCAAAATAATACCAGCATATGTCATAGGGTACAAGCAAAACTCAAGGAGTTTGAAGAGGAGGTTAATAATATAGACAATTCAACAGCCGAAGGACGAATAAAAACTATACAACTCAATACATTGAAAACTAGATATCAAAAAGCGTTTAAACAAAACAATGGTGAACTGGAAAATTTTCGAAATATTAAAAAGCTGGAGTTGGATGCTCAACTCAGAGCGAAAGGTGTTAGAGTTACAGATGAAGAACTTACACAGTTGCTTGAAGAAGGAACCGACATTAGTGTATTTACTGGAAATGTAAGTGGAATTCAAGGTTTAACATCATTGGTTGACTGATTCTTCAAACGGTTTAAGTGTGAATGGTATTATTGTCGATTCTGGTATTAAGGAACCATTTAACTGGTATCATTGTCAAGTAAGTGTAATTATTGCGACAGTTTTTATGTAGGTGAATATAGAGCGGTAAGTAGAGCAATTCCCGTGAAGGAAAGAGGCACGATTAACATTGAAAATAGGCCCCTGTAAATTTCAACCAAATTTCAGTATTTTAAAGGTATCATCATTACAAAAGTACCCCAAAAACATCAAAATCGGATTAATATTTTTCGAGATATTCAAGAAAATCTACGTAGCGATATTTCCTCGGATATTTACTATGCATAGCATAGCAGGACCTATGTACTTTGACAAGCGATATTTGCTATCACAGACATACGATCCTCTTTACATTTCAATCTTTTTTTTTTGGCAATGATGATACCTTTAAAATATTGAAATTTGGTTGAAATTTACGGGGGCCTTTTCAATGTTAATCGTGCCACTTTCTTTGCTGTTGTTATCGATCACCCTCATAAACATGAGTGTTTTATCTACTGAATAAACTATGTTTGAACTTTCCTATACAACAGTTGTAAATTTCTTATATTTTGAGGAGAAATTCAATACAAGAAATGTGTCTGGAGACTGCTGAGCAACAGTTTGATACTTTTAAGCTATGGTATAAATGTAAATGTCTTGTTCTACCAGTATTTTTATAAATATACAGAAACAGAATATCTGAACACAGATCCTACAACTTGTCAGTTATGAGTCTAGTTCTTCGCTCTTCCTCAACAAACTGTGAACCTATTAGGTACAGAGATAAGATACATTCAAGACGGATCTTCAGCTGAAGTTAGGGGCCATCCTAGAAACCAAATTGCCGCAATTATTGCAGGTCACCTACTTGAGTTACGAAATATTGCTTTTGTTAGGCAAATAATTAACAGAATTGAAAAACCTTTACTTCCTTTAATTAATAAGTAGCTACCTTAGTAGAAAATATTTATTGTTTTTGGTAATGCTGCTTCTATTGACGCACACTCTATAAATCCAAAAATATAAAACTCAAATATATAAGATTACTTTAAGTTTAATGTAGATCCTATAGTCCTAAATGTCTAAACACTTCCATTTGTAAAATTGTAAAATAATTATTTTTATATCTTGGTTTCTCTTGCACTCCTTACTGTGCTCATTAGTTGAAAAATAATTAAATAAATGTTCTCGACTTTTTTCTTCACAGTAGGAACCATTTCAGAGATATCAACTTCTGGATGAAACCATGAAATGTGTTCTCCATTGTCATATTTCTCAACAATGCCACCTTCAATTGAAATTTTTATTTCCCATTGCATGAGCAGCTGAAGTAATGGCTGCATTTTACAAAGACCTCCAACATCCCAGAAGAAAAAGCCGATACTCTAAGCCGATACCCAAAGCGGCCTTGAAGAAATGAAAAATACTCAAGTTCCAGAAGTCAAGTAAGCAGATAATCTCGTTACTGAAGCTGTCAAAATGGATGGTGAAGAATTATCGGAAATATAATCCTAACAAAACGCTGTGACAATTCTCTCGCACTAAAAAGAAGATTTTAGAGAAAGAATGTAATCAGAATTGTGAACAGTCTGCTTTCAGGAGTGAATTTCGTACAAATGATCATTTATAAATTCTGATTGAAAACTCAGTAGAATATGCACTAGTATTTGTGGACTGTGGACTGGAAAAACCTCGAACAGCAGCAGTAGGGCTCAACGCAACTACAAATAAGTATAAAATAATATAAAACTACTAAGGATGAGACACGGATTCGCAATTTCTCCTAGACTCTTAATAATATGCATTCAAATGACTACATTGGGATGGAAAGAGTGTGGACATCAACAAAGAAGCCGTTCACCAATGAGTTTTTCAATATGGTGGTTGTGAAGTTTAGCGAACCCGAGCAATCGTTAAAGAAGCCAAGTCTATCCTCAGCAGATAGCAGATTCATGGCCAATTTAGTCACATACCACAAAAAATTCTCAAAAAAACATGGATTTTGAAGTTTTCAAAAATAGTCGGTTTTCTATCAATATCTGGAAGCTCTTTGATCAAATTTGTATAGTTTATATTCAACTATCTTTGGAAGTTATCACTGTTGAGAAGGTCATTGCAGGAGTAGACCCACGGAGCAAGTAGATTTGTTTTTTTCCAAAAAAATCACACACAATGATTTTTTCCACATTTTGCTTCATTTTCAAGAAAATAATTATTTTCGCTCTCGTTCATCTGAGTCATTATGCATAATAGAAAAATGAGGTATCTTCGAAATAAATTATTGGACTTGGAACTTATGGAGGAATTCAGAAAAACTGTTACATACAGAGAGTTTTTCAGGTATTGATAGAAAACTTAAATATTTACATAAATTAAAATAAATAGACTAAAAAGGTAACCCAGTGGAATCCTACTCAGTAGATGGGGCAGTGACTTAAGAAGACTGGCAGGGAATTCGATCATTAAACCCCGGAACCGACAGGAGTGGAAGGCACTACTGGAAACAGCAGTAGATGTCAGAGGTTGTTGGCTCAAAATTAAGTTTCTGTAAAAGCAGCACTGGTAAAAACGGCACACAGGTGAAAAAATTCAATAGAGCTGTATACAAGAAAAAAACTAGCTGCAAATATTTGACCAGCTGAATCCTAGTTTCATTGGCCTGAGCTGTACTTTTTTTTTTTTAAATTTTGAACAGTTAATTAAGTTAATTGATTCATTGTAGATATTGGCTGAAACGGCAGAGGCCAAGAGAATCCTTCAAGACTTAGAGGACAGGCATAACCAACTTTTAAAAATAGAAAGAATGCTAGAAGAAATTCGAGACTTGTTCCTTCAGATGGCAATTTTGATAGACAATCAGGCAGGTAACAAATTACATATTTTTACATTGAAACTTTTTAAAGTAAATTTTTAGCAAGAGCTAATAGATAGAGTTGAATATCAAGCTTCAATGGCTCAAGAATTTGTTGGACAAGGAACTAATGATTTACAGCAAGGAGCACAAAACCGTAAAAAGTTTTTGAAGGTAGTAAATTAAGTTAGAATGTCTAAAACATTAGATATCCTTTTTTTTTCTAGAAAAAAATCATCCTTATTGTGGTAGTAGTCATTCTGATTGTTCTAATTATTGCCCTAATTTTAAAATAAATATAATTTACCTAGCATCCCAGTGAAGTGTGGACATATTATCTAGACTTAGATTCCTTAATACTACTGTGTATTTGTTTACCTCAAGAATATATTATGTACTTCGATATGTACTATTTATAAAGATTACATTCTGATTAATTTTATAAAATAATTTCAATGCAAATATAATTAGGGAATGAGTTTTATTAAATAAATAATTTCACATTACACTACATGAACACAAAAACTAAAATGTACCTAATCCTACTCAGGAAATTGAACTGTGAAAAAATAAAAACAGACAAATTCATTGCACTGCCTCTCTCATGTTTCAAATAAATAGGAAACTTAACAAAATAAAATAATATGTGCTTGAAAAATCCTAGGTATTCAAGTCAAAACATTCTTAAACAAAAATATTCAAAACATTCAAGAAAAAAAAGTATAAATTCCAAGAAAAATTCATTGAAAAACACACCCATTTATTTGATTAATGTCAGCATCCATTTTGGATTTAGCTCCTAAATAAGCCAAAAGGGAAGCTAAGACCATTTATATGGCTCTTGTCGTTTATATAGATGAATTTTCCATATGGAAAATATTTTGAATAAATTCGTCACAGTGTCTAGAAGATGCACTTTGTGAATTGCTGAATACAATTCGCCCATACAGGTGATTTTCTGTTTGCGCTTTGTGAATTATTGTTCTTCTAAAAGATGACACCACTTGCTAAATGGGAGCTCCATTTTTTCTTTATTGTCTTATAAAGCACAACTTCACGTATAGCATTTTCTAGCTGTGTCTAGATGCGATTGTATGAGGTAAATGTAATGGATCGTAGACTTAACGATGTACTGTGAATTTTCCATATAGAAAATAATCCGATTATATTATTAAAATTTAAACAAAAGCATAAACAACTTCTAAAACTGAATAAAAAAAATACAAAATATTGCCCAAAGGGCCATTAGTTTGATAGACAAACCCACGAATAACTTTGTATGCCATACCTACTGAATTTAAAAATAAGAAGCATTTTCTTTTTCCTGCAAATGAGTATAAAAACTTAAAAAAAACCAGTTGTGTTTCTCTGTCAAACTAAAGCAACACCCTGGCAAATTGTAAAAAAATATAAATGAAGAGTTTCATAAACGTTTCAAGGTTCGTTTTTTGTCTTTGAGTATTTTTTTCTTTTCTGCTGTAAGTTTAACTTTGTCTCCTGCATGTTTTTTTGCAAGAGGTCCATCACCTGGTACTTCTTTACTTTTGAGCAACTAGATGAAAAAAAATTAGAAAATATATCAGTTTCAACGAGCTAATTTTACCTGTGCATGTATTTCAGTCATCATCTTAGCTCTTTGGAAATAGTCATCATAATGTTCTAGAAGTAACTTGCCAGCTTCTTCATTCAAAGCTGATTCCGGATTGGGAACTATTAAAAGACACTTGATGGTCTACAAAAAGTGAATGTTTTTAATTTAATTAGCCAAGATAAATTAGGGTATTTACTTACGAGTAAAACATGTTTGATGCCGAGATCAGGCTTCCAGTCCTTTTTAAGAGTATTGACACAAATTTCTCCATTTTGTGCCACATTAGGGTGGAAAATTTTGGTCAGAAAATATGCTTTAGGTGGTTCTGTCGGGAAACCTTTGCCCAATGTCAATTTCACCTTAAATATGCCACCATTGTATGGGGTACCTGAAAAAATTAAAAGTGAAAAAGATTCGCCAGATTTTCATCAGGAAAATGTAAGTTAGGTCAACACTCAGGTTATCATTAACTTAGAAGTAGTAGGTAGTGTTTGCTTATGTGAAATGGACTTTTGGGACACTGGGATAGGAATTATTTTTTAGGAAATAAATTATCACTTGGTACCTATATATGGAGACAATTTAAAGCCATTGATATGCAATATTCTGAGAAAAATTATTATTCAGCAGTAGGGATGTGAGTCAATTTTTCTGACAATGTCGTGTCACAGTCAAAATGAAAATGACGGTCACGTCATTTATTTTTATGACACTCTTGTCATTTATTTTTTTATTGATTACACTTTCTGACTGTCAAAATAATAACTGTCTTTCATTAAAATATATGATCATTATTGAAATATATGAGACTGTCACAAAAATATCAGATGTTTTTTCGATTTTTACTGTCAATCTAATCAAGGAGATGGAAACTGTACTTTCTAACTCAGTAAATGACTTTGATGCTGATGACTGTGAAACTGAAAAAGAACTTTAGTCGACTTATCAGATATCTGATTATTGATTTAAGTTATGTTATGTTCTACATTGAAGGTAAATGACCATAAATGACAATAAATGATAAAAATGACCAAAAAATGACAGTCACCTATCACAAAAAATAAATGACCGTCATTTTACATCCCTATTCAGCAGTCATATGTTGAAAAATTACTCCATGTGTAAACATGGGCCCAAAAATCAGAGACTTTACAGACTTTCAAAAAAGATTATGATTTAGCAAAGTCATGTTTTTGGTGTGGTGTCTGGGGAATTTTTCAGGGTGCAGAGTTGGAGCAAAAAATTTGAGGTTTGTATTTTTGAAGAGCCCAAAAATCGACTCTTCTAACTAAACAAGCTTCTCAAAGCTTTAAGCTGCTTGAAATATTTATTTGCGGCTTCTTAATAGGAAATCCATTAATATTTAACTCAGTTTTCAACTTATGGACATATATGTAGAAATGCTGGAAATAAATATTATTATTATTATTTAATATTATTATTAAAACATTCTAGAAAAGATTATTATTTAGCAAAGGCACATGAACATGTTTAGTTTGATCCAGGGCATAGAAAAGAAACCAGTGTATGAGTATGACCAAGATCTTCATTCACTATTTGTGAATCTTGAAAAAAGCAAATGACAATATCTTACTAAAAAACCTATCGGAAGCACTAAGCACTAGAAAAGACCAATATTAACTTACAATTATTAAAGACAGTTAAAACTCTATAGTGACGTGAAAACCAAGATTAAACAGGGTAGTGTAATCTGCAAGGACTTTACAGCAACTAAAGGACTTAAACAGGGATGCTGCATATCACCAGACATATACTTGGAACAAGAGGATTATTTCCTTTGAGTCATGGACCAAATTCATACCTATTCTTTGAGAATAGGTATGAATTTGGTCCATTTATGGGAATAAACTGTGGCTAAACCACTTGTCCAAAACTATTGGAAAATAAAATGTCACACAAAATCTATCATGTTAGCAATACCACATGCACACCGGAAAATGGTGTTGAGTGAATAATATGTCGCTTTTTTGTCATAAATTTGTTGTGCAAAAAAAAATATCGCGTTTTTTTTCCTTAAATACCCTGGTGGTGCTAGCTTGATATCAAGTTAGCAAGCATTACCAACGTCACCCGATATTCCTACAGAAGTTCTATTGAGTGAATAATTTCTTATGATTAAGATTTCTGAAAACTTTGTAAGGTCATCACTGTTTTTCTATTAAAGATAGAAAGCTGAAATTTTCAGCGATTCTTATCCCAGTAAAGGACTACAATCCCTGAAAATTTCAGCTCATTTGGACTTGTAGTTCCAGAAATAAAATCGCGTTAAGCAATTTAGGGTGAAACTATCGATTTTTCAATTTTCTGAGCGCCTTCTTCTTAGATTTCGCCTTCATATCTCGAAATAATTAAGTGTATGCAGTTTGGAGGATCCCGAAGGATCACTAGAATACAAAATCTCAATATAAAAAAATTTGAACTTTCATCATTTTAGTACATCTACACAAATCTCAAAATCAGAATTATTCCAGGTTTTTCAACACATTTTCGAAACAATCTGAAATTTTTTTTATTTTTATTATTTATTTATTTACGGGAAAACCCCATTAACTGTTAAAATACAATTTAAGAGAAAATATAAAGAATAAAGCATAAGTTAGGTACCATATTATAACTATAACTACATAAATAATAAATATTATTTAACTACAAAAATTAATACTACACAATAATATAAAACATATCAAGTACAGCCAAAAATCATCTTTTAAGCAAGTAGGTATTAGTAAAAGTATGTAGGTATTATGAAAAATATCTTGATCTTGATAATGAGTAGTTAACATATGGAAACATATAAAATAGAATTAGGTACAACAAATAATACACAAACCAGAATTGACCCTGTTATACAAAAAATATCACATATTCTTCAGGTACGTTTTTAATTGACCTAGGGTCATATCAAATATATCAATATTTAAGTTATTAATTAATGACATATATCAAATCAAATCAAATCAAAATAAGCTTTATTGTCATAAAAAATTTTAAATTCTTGTTGACAAAGCCAATAAAATAAATAAAATATAAAACAATATGGTCATTGGAATTAATTACACATGCAGTATTGAACATAAACTTAAACTAACATAATGCCTAACATGCCGTCAAACGAATCGACAAGTTAAAAATAGCAAAAAAAAAAAAAAAAACAAATATAAAAACAAAATTTGAATTAGTAGCACATACACAAGTCAAGCACATACACAAATTAAACTTAAGATTAAGACTAAAACCTAGGTAGACTTTTTGATGAAAAGCTCTGCTGAAAAGAACGTTAAAACTGGTCATCCAGATACTCTGATACACTATAATAGGGCGGCTCCAATAGTAATGCCTTCACTGTAGATCTGAACTTCCTTTCAAATTGAATATGCCTGATCTCGAGAGGCAGTTTATTAAACATTTGTCTAGAAGCAAATATTAAAGAATTTTATTTGTGAAGAGACAGGTATCGGCAGCTCTACACTGAACGTTCTCCGTGTGTTGTAGGTGTGTTGACTTGTCAAAATATTGTCCCTATACTTCCTATGTATGAGGCACACAGACTCCAGCACAAATAACGCTGATAGCGTTAACAATCTGTGCCTCACAAACAGTTCCCTACAAGAACTACGGCGCGATACCTTGCACATAAATCTGACTGCCCTTTTCTGCAGTAGAAAGACACTATTGAATAAACCCCTCGTACATGAACCCCTGTCAATAGGATTATTTTCACCATATGTTGTTCGGTGAAAAGGTATGAGAAATGTTGGGTGTTGCCGCAGTCCCCTAGTGGGTACATTAAAACTAACTGAAGAAAGGAGACTTGGACAGTCAATTAACCCATGTACTAATTTGTATATAAATGCTACACCAAAACTATCTCTACGAAGGCCCAGAGGACTCAATGACAATCGTTGTTCCATTGCTCTATAGTCGTGGTCAGCCATAGCAAAGCCATTTTTAAACGCACACACTCTAAGAAATTTATGTTGCACCCTCTCCAAGGAATCCATATGAATCTGAAAATATGGTGACCACACCACAGAACAATATTCCAATGTTGACCTTACCAAGGAGCAGTAGACAACCCTGGTAGCCTCCACAGAGAAGCATTGACAGTTTCTCACGACGAAACCCAACATCTTCGAAGCCCTTACTGCAACCGAATTTATGTGATCAATAAAAGATAATCTCTCGTCTAAAATAACACCCAAATCTTTCACTTTAGACACATACTTCAGAGACTGATTGTTAATAAAGTAACTAGTTTGAATTTTATTTACTTTCCCTGAAAAACTAATATAGCAACATTTATCCACATTCAGAGATAACTTATTTTCTACACACCACACGGACAAGCGATCCAGATCCTCCTGCAGAAGCAACTGGTCCACAATGCTCTCCACCGTTCTCCAAAATTTCAAATCATCTGCAAATTTTGCACACTCACTGTTTATAAAACAATCAGTTATATCATTAACAAAAATATTAAAGAGAAGAGGAGAACAGTGGCCGCCCTGCGGGACACCCGATGTAACAGAGATTGACTCAGAAAAATAACAACCTACTTTAGCATGTTGGATACGATCAGTCAGTGAGCTCTGGATCCACATAACAAAATGAGAATGAAAACCAATCTTGGTTAACTTCTGCAAGAGTATCCAATGATCCATCCTATCGAAGGCCTTAGCAAAGTCTGTATATATAGAGTCTACTTGTTTCTGCCCCTCCATATGATGCAAAATGCCTGTCTGGTAACCTACCAAGTTTGTCAATGTGGATTTATTTTGACAAAAGCCATGCTGCTCCACAGAAATTAAACCTTTACACACAAACCAGCTCAGTTGCTTGCCAACAAGACAGTCAAAGAGCTTTGGTATTGCGGATGGAATACAAACACTACGATAATTCTCAATATTCTCTCTTTGGCCACTTTTAAAAATAGGAACAACATAGCTCTTTTTCCATTCATTCGGGAACACAGCACTAATCAAGGATCTATTAAAAAGGATATACAATGGTAAAACTATAGTGCAAACACACTCTTTCTAGAGGAAATCAGGCACTCCGTCCGGCGCTGATGTAAGTTTATTGGGAAGACTGCATATCTGATCGAAAATATCAGACTTACTTATTTCTGAGCACTTAATATTGCTACTTATGTTATCATCCAATGTTAAATCAGGTAGTACTGGAGAGTTCTGGTTAGCTACATATACAGTCTGAAAAAAATTCCCAAATAAATTGGCTACATCCTGCCCATTTGAAGCCCTCTCCCCCCCATAAAAGAGTGAGCTTGGAAGTCAATAAGTGGAACGCTTATCATTGATAAATTTCCAAAATGATCTTGGATCAACTTTCAGTCTCCCATCAAAACCC